AAATTTTAAAAGTTTCAGTTTTTACCTTGACAAATTTTAAAAGTTTCAGTTTTTACCTTGAGGATGCCACAAAAATATAAGCCACATCAACCTTTTAGGTGATGTGGCATCCTCAAGGTAAAAACTGAAACTTTTAAAATTTGTCAAGGTAACAATTGAAACTTTTTTTTGGCAGGGGGGTTTTTCAAATACACCCCATATGTCAGGGGTGAAAATAGGTATTAACCCATAAAAAAATGATTTATGTGTTATTTTAAAAAAAAAATAGTTAAAAAATAATTAAAAAGAATTAAAGTTAAAAGATGAGAAAAGGGCCAGTTTCAGCAATTCTGGGGGGTGTTGAACTTCTGAAACCCAGAAGGATGGCCCAGAGTCTGGCGCCTGATCCAATGAGACCATCTTCTGGGGACTCATGGTGGACTTGCGTATGCTGGCGTTGGATCAGAGGATGAGATCAGAGGGTGCTTGATGATCCTCAGAAGGTGAGGTGTGCTGATTTATCAAAAATCTTGTACTGATACACCTCAACAGAATGGAGTTGCTGAAAGGAAACACCGTCACATTATTGAGACTGCTCGTTCCCTTTTGTTGTCTGCTTCGGTTCCTAGTGAATTTTGGGATGAAGTTGTTCCTACTGATGTTCATGTTATTAATAGAACTCCATCGTCTGTCACATCAAGTTTGTCTCCCTTTGAAAAATTATGTAACTCTATCCCAAATTATTCATCTTTGAAAGTGTTTGGTTCTACTTGTTTTGTTCTTCGCCCACAAGTAGAACGTAGTAAGTTGTCTTCTCGTTCTGTTATATGTGTTTTTCTTGGTTATGGAGATGGTCAAAAGGGTTATCGTTATTATGATCCTGGTGCAAAGAAATTGTATGTTTCTCTTCATCTTATTTTCCTTGAACACATTCCTTTTTACTCTCTTTCTTCTGATTCTTATATTACTAGCAGTTCAAAACTTACCCACATCGATCCTTTTGGTTATAATGATAATGTTTCTATTGATTGTAATTTTGAGAATTGCGGGACTGATACTACTGCTACTCCAGATAACAACATCCCTCTTGTCCCCGCGGCTACCTAAGAACCTCTCACGATTGTTGATCCTCTGCCTCCCTGTTATATCTCTCGTGACCGTAAGTCTACTCAATTGCCTGATTTTGTCTATTCTACTTACTCTGCTTCTTTTGCTTCTTTTCTAACCTTTATCCACAGTTTGTCTGAGTCCTCTTCCTGTAAAGAGGCTATCCTTGACCCTCTTTTGCAACAGACTATGATAGAAGAATTTTCTGCTTTGCACAAAATAGATACTTGGGAATTAGTACCTCTTCCCCATGGAAAACATGCTATTGGGTCTCGTTGGATATTCAAGATTAAAACGAAGCCTGATGGGTCAGTTGCGCGCTACAAAGAACACCTTGTTGCTAAGAGATTCTCTCAATAATATGGTATGGATTATGAAGAAACTTTTGCTCCTGTTGCTAAGATGACTACTATCCGCCCTCTTATTGTAGTTGCATATGTTCGTCAGTGGCATATTTCTCAAATGGATGTTAAAAATGCATTTCTAAATGGTGATCATCAAGAGAAAGTGTATATGGTACCCCAACAAGGTATTTCTCATAATCAAAGGGAAGTGTGTAAGTTGAAAAAAGTATTAAATGGACTGAAACAAGCTCCACGAGCTTGGTTTGAGAAGTTTACCACTATGATTACATCTATTAGATTTTGCTCTAGTGATCACGATTCTGCTTTATTTGTCCAGACCACTAATCATGGTCGTATTTTACTCTCACTATATGTTGATGATATGATTATTACAGGTGATGATATGGATAAAATTAATGATTTGAAATTGGAGTTAGCAAAACAGTTTGAGATGAAGGACTTAGGCACTTTTCGCTACTTCTTGGGAATTGAGGTTGCCTACTCTCCTAGAAGCTATCTTCTCTCTCAGTCCAAGTATATTGCCAACATTCTTGAACATACTCGCCTTTTGTATACTAGAGCAGCAGATAGTCCTCTTGAGTTAAATGTGAAATATGCTACATCTAATGGTGTTCCTCTACCAGATCCCACCTTATATCGTACTTTGGTTGGCAGTCTGGTGTACATTACATTTACTAGATCAGATATTGATTATGTTGTTCATGTTATTAGTCAGTTTGTTGTCTCTCCTACTGTAGCGGCATAAATATTGAGACTAAGCCATTGGATAGACTCATCTCGCAAAATCAATGAAAGTCGTCACCACACTTTTATTTTATCCAAAGGGAATGAGAAAATAACGAATAAACCCAAAGTAAAATAGAGATCAAGGTACGAGATTGGTTATGTAAAGGGAAGATATTAGCACCCTAAATATCTACGGTACTCTGCAAGAACCTCTTTGAAAATATGTATATTTGAATATAAAAGGTATATACAAAACAAGATGGTGGAGATGAGAAAATAAGTTCTTTTTTACAGTTTTTACACTCTTCGCGGTTGTGAACCTTTTGTGCCTACACACCCCCTTCGTGCAATAGAGGATCAGAGTACTTGTAGTTCACTTCAATTTTTTTTGAAAGTTTTGTGTGTTAATTGATTTTAAATGAAGAGATAAGTCATCATTTTGAGGGAGAAGACTCGCCTAATCGTCCACATCGTATGAGAAAGAGGGATTATGCACCAACACGAGGGAGGGTGGTGACACACCTCTAGTACTCAAGTGGAGAAGTCGAGAATCATGGAGATAAGAGAATGACACCTCGACTATAAATGGATCATGTCTAATCTTGAAAAAGTTTTTAAAGGAAAAAAAGTGCACGAGGGCACAAAAAAGTTTGAATGAGGTTGAGTGTTTTTTTAGTTTTTTTGAAAGTGTTAGAATATGGTTAGATGGATTTACATTTGATTTAAAGAAAGAGAAGTTTGAAAAAGTCGCTTGACGAAGTCAAAATTTATTATGAAAGCGGTTCAAGTTAGAAAAACAACAAGGTTTTGAAAAAGATGAGAAGGTTTTGAAAAAAGAATGGGAGGAGGTTAAAAGAATATTCTATGTATAAGGAAGTAAAATATTGGTAAGGAAAGTCTGACCAAATAGGAGCTGACACTTGACAAATAAAATCAATAAGAATTCTTATCCTTTAGATTAAAGCAAACAAATAAATAAGTCAAGAATGTGCCAACATCTGGTGAGAATAAATCACAGCAGATGAGAATAAATCACAAGCAGAATGTGCGTCAGATAAACTCAAGGTGTTCAGATAAGTGCTCAAAGCGTCGGATGGTCGTCATAACAACAGATAAAAATCCCGCATCAGATGAAACTCCCACTAAAAAGACAAAACCAAAATAATAGAGAAATAATCTAAAGGTCTCGTATAAAAAGAAAACACTAGTCAAATTGGATTAAAAATATGTATTAGTTGCATATAGATTTTCACCATTTGTTTGTTGGCCTATCCTTCTGAGATAAGTCATTATGGAGGTCACTTAGATATATCAAAGCATTACTTTGTATGTGAATGGTTATTTGAATCACATTTGTTCAAGTTGGTGTTGAATTGGTTCTTTCTTCATTCACATGTGACAATCTTATGCTACTACTTTGGTTGATTTGATGTTCGCCGCATGATATTCGATTCATCTCACATGATTTGGACATATGAAGCTTCAATTTGAAATCATTGCAAATCCTGATGTTGGTGTTGTAGTCTCTCATAAGGAAAGAAGCATTTTGGTTATTCCAGTTTTTCATGCTCGTGCTCATTGTTTTATGCTGTGAGATTGCTATGTCGGCCTCTCTAGAATCCTGACCTGCTCTTGGTGATGCATTCTCTGCATTTTCTTCCTTTCAAAGTTCAATATATTGTTCATTTTCTCTCCAATCACAATTTGTCAAATCAAATGGAAAACACTAGGAGATTCAAAAGACATAGAGTACATGCTAAGCAAGCTAACTGCTGGTATAACTGATGTGTTTGAATGTCAGATTTGAAAATGTTTTTCAAACGTTGGTATAAAACACTATGAACTTCATAACTATTACTATTTGACTATCTCTCTTCGCATTTGACTCTATAACACTTCATAACTACCAAGTAAAATACCAAAGACATACATATTGAAGAGGTGAAGGCCACAAACTAGAGGTGTGTGGTGTGTATATTTATTGAAAATTTCTTAAAGCACCTATATATTTAGTTTTATGTTCAAAAAGACATTGATATTTTTAGAAATCAGAAATATATTTTCGATATGTATCCTGAACAAATATATTGTTATTTAGACAATTTAAAACGGTAGAACATAAATCAGAAATACGTATACGGTTTAAACCATATTTATATTTTCGGTTGCATCTCAAATACACATAATGTTTAACATTGAAAAAAATATATATAATTCAGATACGAACCAGAAATATATTTACGATTACAACTGAATATATATTTCCGTTTCGTATTATTACTTAAACGCATCATGCCTTCCTTATTTCAGAAATTATTTAAAAAACACAACAAACTCTCCGAAACTCTCTTAAAACCCATTCAAAATTTCGCAAACTTACATAAATGAAATGACTATTTAAGTCTAAATTAAATTAAGGGGTACAAGACTAATTAAACGTAGAGTTTTTGGATTCACTGCCTACACTTATTTAACACATGGAAGATTTTCTTACTAACTATTCTTTGAATTTTTATTCTAGTGTGAGCCAATTAGTGGGAGTATCAAGCTATAGATTCGTGAATGAAAATTTCAAATTTAACATACGCCGAATCCTAATTATAATCATGGTAAAGATTTGCCGCAATTATAAGCCAATGAACATTCAATTACTTATAGAATGGTAAACCTAAAACGTTGGCAAAAAAAATCCTAAGAACCGTGTGTTGATGCAGTGAAGATCTTGATATTTGTGTTTATTGCGGCAATCACACGCAACTCTGGAATATGCCTATAAATGAGTAGCATCTCGTTTTCTAGTACTCCATTACATTTCAATTCAACATGGCTTCTTCTACCACCACCAAAGTGTCACTGAAGCTTCTTATTGACACAAAGAATGAGAAAGTTCTCTTTGCTGAAGCTTCAAAATCTGTTATAGATTTTCTTTTCAACTTGCTATGCTTGCCTATTGGTACTGTTGTTAAGCTCCTAAGTGCTAACAACATGGTTGGTAGCTTAGGAAATCTGTATGAGAGTGTTGAAAATCTGAACCAGAATTACATGCAACCAAACCAAACTAAGGATGTTCTCTTAAACCCAAAAGCTCAAAGCTCTTCCACTGAAATCTCAGGCTTCCTTACTCAGAACGATGTCAATGAAGACGATGATGAAGAAACAAAGTTATACATGTGTCCAAATAAGTGTAAGTTTGAGGTGACAAATGATAACACAACTCGCTGTACTGGGTCTGGCGTCCACTCTCCTTTTGGGTATGCAGGCCATTGTTCTTGCTCAAACACTATGAGCAGTGAGGTACGTTATATTGAAAATAAGAAGGTGGCTAAAAAGAGAGCTTTCATTCCCAATGGATTTGTGAAGGATGTTGTGACTTTTATGGTGATGGATGATTTGGTGATTCAACCAATGTCAACAGTATCAAGCATCACACTGTTGAACAAGTTCAATATCAAAGAAATAGGTACCTTGCAAGAAAAGAATGTTGAAATGGGAATGGACGAGGTAAAATCAAAATAAGCAAACTCAAAACATGTGTACAATTTTCTGAATTGTTGTATTTATTTTTGTAACAGGGTATCAAGTTGCTTAAGGCTTCTCTGCAATCCAAAATGGTCTTGACAAGCGTTTTCATCAAGAAGCAAAAGTGATATGCATGGAATAATGTGATGGGTCTTTATTTATCTTTTAAAATGTTTAGACAAGAATTGTTTTTTTTTCTTCTGAATTTTGGTTTTGTTTGTCACAATTCTGCTTAAATGTTTGCTTCTTGCTATGCTTTATATTTATTTTTTGAACTATGTCATCCTTATTTCCTGATTATTGTACTATTCCTATGCTCAACGATCACTTAATTCTACTTATTAGCTAGAGTTTCCTTAACATACTTGCTTCCAACTTAAAATATTTGTATAACTAATAGAATAGTTGTACATTTACACCAGTATCACTGTGATACACGTATTTATTCTCAAAATATAATAAATTAATGTTTATAATTTTTTTCATATATAAATATATTTTAATCAATAATATTTTTTTTTATATATAACTATTATTTTTGTTTTGACATTATTTATAAAAAATATTAGAATCAATACTAAATTTTTTCCGTTATATATTATTTAATATTTTAATCAATAACTTAATGTTCTAATTATAATTATTTTACTTTTGTATTTTGAAAAAATGACAAATTCTAATTTGTCAATATTTGTTTTTTATAGTTAACATGTACATTTGTTTCCAAAATATAATAAAGTTGTTTCAAATTAATAAGAATAATATTTTTCCATTAATATTTTCATATTTTTTAAAAAATGATTGATAAATATTATTAAATATTGAGATAAGTAGTAAAATTGCTACCGTTAATAACAATAATATTGTTTCTTGTATATATAAATAATTCAATCAACAATATATTTTTTCTGTATATAAATATTATTTTTGTTTTGATAATAATAATTTATTTAAATTTATATATAAATATTTGAATCAATAATATTTTTGTCATGTTTTTATCTAAAACTAATTTATTCACTAATTATAAAAAAATATTGTTATAAAATATTATAAAGATACAAATTAAACTATCTCTTTTATGATTTAAGTTAAATTATAATTATTAATTTAATTTAATGGTAGAATTTTTATCATGTGAACTTAACTACTTGTGCTTTCTCTAAATTATAATATAAAATTACCTAAGTAGCAAAGTATATGCTATAGTTTAAATTTTGTTATATGCTCATACCATAGTAGCAGAGTACATAGCAGAATAGTAGAGTAATGAGCTAGTTTTATCATGTGCTCATGTACTCGAGTGTTTAAACTTTTTTATTTACTTGTTAAATCACTTTTAAAAATTTTGGTTTTTTTTTGTGTTAGTTGATATCTTCATATCTAAAACCATTTAATTGTTTTTATTAATTTTTGTATCTTAATCTAAATTTTGTGTGAATATTTTTTTATTTATGAAAATGTTTGAAATAATACCCGCATGAAATCATCTGTTTTCGGTTAAACAGTAGATAAATCCACTTTTTCATCGATCTTCAAAAAAATAACACTTATATAGATAGTAACTTATAATATACAAATACTATAATTTATAAACAGTAAATACAATTAGTTATAAACAATTTCTATACACTTTAATTATTATTATTTATTAACTGAATATTAAATATTAATTCTTAAATATTAACAAAATTATTAAAATAACTATTATGATAATGAATAATAAATAATTAAATTTTAATGAAATTAATCAAATTAATTGATATTTATTAGCTATCATAAAATATAAAATAAAAATATTTATTTATTTATCAAATATACAATATTTTGCCCAAATTTTAGTATGCATCCATTGCAAATATTTGTTTCCATAAGAAAGGAAAATGAGTTGTTTTTGAAATGAAGAACATTTATTACTATAATATTGTATAACATATTTTATAGGTAAAATAGTTTTGGAGGCTATAAAAGAGGTAGAGATCCTCTTCATTTCTTAGAAGAAATGGATATCTTCATTATATGCTTTTTGTGAATAAATATCTATTTAATGTCATAATTTTCAAAAATGTGTAATTATATCTTTAATTTAATTTAAAATTATAGTAATTGAGATCTTCATTTTTTTAGACAAATAGAGAAAATCTCAACCCATATATATATATATATATATATATATATATATATATATATATATATATATATATATATATATATATATATATATATATATCCTGATAAAATGGAATGAGATTATTATGAAAATTTATGAATAGTAAAATAGAAGTAAATGAGTCAATCAATAATAAACGCTGATAAATTTTTGAAATGTGAACAAATTAATTAATTGTACTTACACAAATCTAAATCATTAGTGGTAAAAATTTCAATACAAAGTAAATAATAAAAAAGTTTACGATCAGATATGTATTGCCCAAAAAATAGCTTGACAGCTCTATGGCAAATTAAATCTATGATTTAAGATAAGAACAAATAATAAAATTCTATACATCAATCAACTTCAATCTTACCTTTTGTATTTTTTTTATCGATCAGTTCAAAATCATCATCCTTAAAAACATAACTATTTTTGGCAACCATCTTCATATGAAATTGGAGCAACTAATGTTGGTGTAAGGTGATAAAATTGAGGAAGAAGAGAAAAAAAAGATAAATGGTATACAACTGTCACAAATGATTGAAAGAGAATTGATTGTATTAAATGAAATCTAGTACACCTATTTATACACAAAAGTAGTCTATTATAAATCTATAAAAATGATAGTCCCTGGAAATTACCACAACACCACAGCTGAAAAAATCCATTGTTGGTCTATTGTATTGGGGTAAAATTGGAAACTCCAAAATATCTTGCACCACATTGATTTGAATATGATGTGGCACTCCCACAATTTTTCACCACATTTTCAATTTTTTTTTCCAAATAAATCCCACATATTATACTGTTATTTAAAATAAAGAACCAATTCAATTTATTGTGCAGGCAGCGTGAGAAACCCAACCATGGGGAATACCAATTCATTATTCCTTGCCATTCATTGTGCCTCTCTTCCTCTTCCCCATGCCAAACCATTATGCCTCTCTTAATCAGAATTCAAATTCAAATGGAACACCAAAAGTTGTTCACTCTTCCTTCAATCCTTCCCCAATGTGTACTTATGTATAACCTCCATTGGTTAACACCTTCCAATCGTTTTCATTCACGCAAGCCATTGCTACAGACGTCCCTTTCGTTTTCATTCACGCAAGGCTCTCTGCGCTGTTACGAATCGCTGCGTGACGATGGCGCGCCCAATCGAGTATATCAGTAGCATTGACGATTTGAAGGATTTGTGGAAGGTTGCTGTTAGATGTAAGCATTTGTGGTCTGTTACCAGTTCTCAAAATAGAGAGCACTTAGAGCTTATTCTGTTTGATTCAAAGGTATAATACAATCTAAACGTTTCTGCTTTGCCATTCTGATTTTGTTGTAACAGTACTGGTATATGATACTGATTTCAAGATGTTTGTATTTTCACAGTTGGATTTGATTCAAGTCATTGTGCCATCTTATTTGGTATTAAAATTCAAAACACAACTTGAACTTGGTTGTTCCTACATAATGCAAAATTTCAAAGTTTCCAACAATGATTTCTCCTTCAAATCCACTGATCATAAGTTCAAATTGACTTTCTCCGTTATACATAACTGTCTGTGGTGAACTTTTGTGCAGATATAATTGGTGGGGTTACTGAAATATCTCAAGCCCAGATAATTCCTGATAACAACAAAAGCAAGGTTGTGTTTTCATTAACTGATCTGAGGTAGGTGTTTCATTTTGTTTGTTAACATTGATGCTGATAAATATAAAAGTCTAACATGTTCATGTTGTTTGTTTTGTAATTCCTGTCAATCAGCAAACATCATGTGCAATGTACTCTTTGGGGTAAATTAGTTGTGCAACTGAATGAGTATTATACGACTCATAAGGCTGATGGTAGTATTGTTCTCCTACTTATGAATGCAAGGATCAAGGAACCTCAAGGTAATGCTATGTGACTATTTCTTATTATATTCAATTATTATATCCAACTTTAAGTGTTGTCATTTATAAATATCTCAATTTTCAGGAAATTATCCTTTAAATGTATCAAATGCTTGGAACGGCACAAAACTGCTCATCAATGATTTGTCTATTGAGGAGGTTAAAAACCTTAAAGAGAAGTAAGTGATTTTATTATGAAGTTATGAATTAGCAACCTATGATTACTAACAGCCTGTTTTCATTCTGATTTATGTACATCAGACTTAAAGATGATCTGCCGACGCTCTCATCCTCGAGCATGCAAATGGAAACCACAAATACCTCTGTTTTTTCTGATTTGGACAAATTTGTATGGAAAGCTGAAGTGTTGAGTCTGTCTGATATTGCATATCTGCAGACTGTAAGTTGCTCTTTAATACATGACTGTCTTAGATTGAGGAATTACACAGACTGGGTTCTAATCCATTTTTTGAGACATCATCCCATCTTTCTGTTTCAGGAAACTACATGTGTGACTGTTGCAACTCTGGAGAAGTTTGAATGTGGGCAGTCAGGATGGTATTATGATGGATGTAGTGAATGTACCAAAAGTGTGACTTTGAAGGATGGAAAATTCATGTGTTATTCCAAACACATCAGTTTTGAGCCAGTCCCAAGGTAACTTCTAAGTATTGCATATCAATGATTATCATCATATAACCAAACGCTTCATTACTGACAATTTCTTATTTTGATCACGCATGGTACAGATTTAAGCTTGAAGTGCTTGCTTCCGATGGAAAGTTAAAATACAAGTTCGTATTTTGGGATGTAGATTGTGTAAAGTTGATTGGGAAGTCCGCCCTTCAGATGAAGTTGGATTTGATGGAGGTATTTTCCATTTGGCTAATATGTAAGTTAGATAATTACCACATAAATAACATATATTGTTTTAATCATTTAGACTGGAGATTTTGATCCCCTTGAATTCCCTTATGAACTTGATGTGATGCTGAAGAAGGAGTTGGCTATAAGAGCAGTGTTTCAACCAAACAAGGCCAGTCTTTCTATAATCGGATTTAAGGCAGATGAAGTGCTACGTACCAA